CATGACTGATAAAATATCTGACATGACTGACTTGAAAGATTGTTATTATACTGCTCTGGTCTCAGCTTCAAGCCTCCATGGTGTACCCGGCTGAATGGCTATTATTTCAAGCCTCCATGGTAACTCGGACTAGTGACTCTTATACACTGGAAACCGTTACCTTGAGAATTATAACAGCCTTTAACATAAAAATTCTTGCTTGAACAAGATTTACTGCTGACTTAGAAAATTTAAGTCTATTCCTCGAATTATATCAAGGAATTTCTCTCTGAAGTCTGCCAATTGATTGACAAAATGGCAGTTCTCGATAGAAATATCTGAGAAACGGGATTATTAAGATTTGTTTAGCACAAGTGCTTACAAATCTCTTGACGAGCAGCCATAAATGGCTGATAATTACTGACATGAAACCTGAGGAACTCTAGAGTCATATCGAGAGATATTAAAATCTAGAGTCATAACTGAGTATACTGATTTCTAAAGTCAGGGCTGAATCTACTGAATTCTAGAGTTATATCTGAACTCTAAAGTCTGAATCTGGTTTGAGCATCTTAACTAAGTCTGATTTACTGATTTCTGAGCATAGACAAAGTAATATGTTTATAACTGAAAGACTGAATCAGCACTTACCTGGTGTCGACGAGGCGTGAGCGTGACGGTTCAGGTTTTTCTGAAAATTTTTGACTGAAAAACTTTTCAGAGACGCAAAAAAGCGCTCTGATACCACTTTGTAACACCCCGCTATTTTTAATACATCAGAGTACGCGATTTTTCGCAATTTTCTGAATAAATAAATAAAATACTTATTTTTGCGAAAACTGATCGGGATGCTACCGTGAAAACTTGATTTTTTGAAAACCGTTTAAAAATTTAAACTGATAAATAAAAACGGTCATAATGTCTTATCCGACAAACATCAGAACAAAGTCTGATAAAAGTACTGAAAAGTTTTAGCGGAAGTCTAGCGTGGCAAATCATAAGATACAACAATCATAAATGTCCTGAACAGCTCGCCCGCTCACTCCTCGTCTCCGACCCTGCGACCTGAAAAACATGAAAGGTGTGGGGCGTGAGCACTAAGGCATTGTGCTCCGCAGAAACTCATGCTAATGTACAACATCGTAAATAATAACATGATCATGAACTAAGCATATATAACTGAACTGAACTGATATCTGATAACTGATAAAAGGTAACTGATAACTGATAAACCGGTCTGAATCTCGCGACAGAAGTCACGTAACTG